AGCTTGCTGCCGTTGGATCTGGCAAGATCCAACGGTCCAGATGGCTCCAGAGGGAAACCCTAGGGTTTGATACCCTAGGGCCACGCGGCGTCGCCCCAGTTTCCACGCGGCTGCCGACACATCTCGCCGCCTCCGCCGCTGCCACGTCCCAACCGAAGACTCCAGAAGCTAGAACACCAGCCGTCCACGCCATAGCTACGGGGTGAGTCACCACTGGCAGTCCGGTGACTCACCGAGATCCCTTCTTCGGACCGGTCCGACGGCTACAACGGTGGTGGCTATAAAAGCCACCACCCCAACCTGAAAAAAAAACCCGGAGACAGAGACAGAAAACGAAGAAGGAAGACAGAAAAAAAAAACACAAAAAGAAAAAAAAAACTACTAAACCAACGATCTCAGTCAAACATCCAGCAACCAAAAAAGGAAAATGAAGGAAAGAAACTTACCGAGGAAGCCCCGACCACCGGATCTCACCGGAACCTTCGAAACACCGAAGGTATTTTTGTAGATTCGCTCCGATTGGGAGCTTTTTAGGAGGAAATAACACCGGAACCGTCCTTAGGACGGTCCGATCTATCTATTAGTGTAAAAATATTTTTTCCGGCCACCGGATGCGGTGGCCGGCGGTGACAATCACGGCGGCACACGGTTACCGTCCGGTGACCGGCTTCCCTCCGGTGAGGGAAGCTAGAGAGAGGCGAGAGAGTTTTAAAACTCTCTCAGTTTAGAGAGAGAGAGTGAAATGAAAAATGAAGGCTGACTCCAGCCGGTTTTGGACCATATATAGGCCTTCCCGAACGACGTCGTTTCGGGAAGGACTATGCGCGTAATTATAAAATAGTTAAACCACGTCCGCAGTCATCCCAATTTGTAAACTTTACATTTTAGTCACTAAATCAAATTTATAATCCTTTTAATTTGGTTCTTGAATTTTAATTTTATTCATTTTAGTCCTTTATATTAAAATAATATATTTAGGATAAATAGCAGATTTAATCCCTTAATTTTAATAAATAATATTTTAATCCTTAGTTTATATTTTTAATTTATTTTATTATAATATCCGAATTTTAGATAATTACATTTTAGTCACTAAATAAATAAAATAAAGAAATAGCATGTTTAATCCCTAATACTTTGATTAATATTGAATTAAGTTTTTAATTTTACTATAATTTAGTCATTGAATTTATAAGTTTTCATTTATTTTATTGCTTTTAAAATATATTGTTTTAGTGGTATTTTTATTGTTTTAATTTTATTTTATATTTTTAAATATTTTTATGTATTCATAAATATATATATAATAAATCTGGAATAAATTTTTTAATGTTTATTTTTAATATCGAAGAAAAGGACAGTCTTAATACAACTGGATGTCCTATTTTGATATTTTTTAAACAATATTATTTAAATTAATATTTATCAATATCAAAGAAAAGAGCTGTCTTAAGGCACCTAGAAGTTCTTTTCTGATATTTTTAAATAAATAAATATTTTTTTATATAATTTTGAAATAATAGGATTATAAATTAAATATATTTTTGAATTTTTATAATTTTAATAATAGAGACAATTTATAATTAAAAAGTACCAATTTTGGGCGTTGTAGGGGTGCTAATCCTTCCCTAAACGTAACCGACCACGAATCCCTTTTTATTATTAAGAACGAATTTTTGGTTATAAAACGCAGATCAGTTCATTTTTTTTAATTGATGTTTTTTTTTAAAAACTCTTTTAAAAGAAAAATTTTTAGGTATTCGACCTACCTGATCCAAAAGGTCGATGGCGACTCACAAATTATTTTAAAAATTATTTATTCACATCAATTTCCCGCCAAATTTAATATTTCGTGCCCGGACGAAAACCGGTTACGACATAATTAGTAATATCAAAATACAGATTAGAACTAGAGGATATGTTGTGAGTTAATTTTAGATTGTTTAATGGGGTTTTCATTTTATCTTAGTGTAAATGAAGGTTTCTTCGAGGAGTTCTAAGGATTTTGAATGGAAATGGTGCAGGCAGCAAAGAGGCTAGAGATCACTTTGAGGTACTTTAAGCGATTGGGAAATTTAGGATTTTGGGCTCAGTTGACAGTTAGTATGCACTTTGGTATCAGCGATGATACTATCGTTTTCTGTTGTTATTACTTGGAAAATCACATCACCGGCCACTTTTTATGCTACAGCGAGTGGAATTGTGGCTGCTTTCATATCAGTTTTTTGGTCCTTTGGGTATATTCGGCTTTCCGAGAAGCTCAAGAAAACTGCTAATGATCCCTCAAAGGTAATTTGAAGTTTTGATTTTGTTAACAGTTTAAATTTTTCAATGCATTATCAACTTAAAGTCTTCAAGTGAATTCCACGTTTAGAATATTTGTTGTTATATGTAAATCCTAGGGGCTTGGAGAAAAACATTCTTATTTGAAATTTTATCTGTGTTGACTGTAATCTTGTTCTGGTATCTTGTCTTATCGTTTAGGATGAATGTCACTCATGAACCCGATTTGTTATGCATTATATATGAAATTGTGCATGCATTGTCAATTAGGAGAGAATACTGAAAGTTGAAGGAGAGGAATGATTCCAATATTATTTTTCATCACTTTCTAGATAGTTAGGTTCTTGTCTTGACAGTATTGCCCTAATAAACGCAAATAGTGTTATCAAGATACTTTAACTTTAATCATTCCATATGTGCAGTAAATAGATTGGTCTTCACACAAAGTAATTGAGTTGGATACTTAATTTTTTTTCGTATTTATTTTATGCTTAATATAGTTGGTCCAATCTATACTTAGGTAGGGGTGAGCATTCGATCGAGTCAAGTCAAAAAATTTTGAGTTATTCAAGTTGACGAGTCCTATTTTATAACTCGAAGTTGATTTGAAAATTTTTTGAATCGAGTTTATAAAATTCGAGTCGAATTTTCGAGTTTTTATTTAAATTTAATTGTAAATATTTATAATATTATGATATTATTTAATTCCAATTTAAATGGTTTTCTATAACCATGTACAATACATATATTTTTCTTCATATTTTTTCATATCTGATATACATATATCATGCAGAGTTGAGGGACTCGACTCAGACTTGAAAGTCAATCCACTAATCGCTAAAATTTTTGAGTTATTCAGGTTACCATTCGAGTTATTTGAGTTGTATTTTACAACTCAATTTAAACTTGATTTTTTTCCAGTCGAGTTGAGTTTATGAAATTACAGCTCGAAGTAAATTCAAGTCGAGTAAAAAAATTGGTTTATTTCGAGTCGAGTTTTGCTCACCCCTACACTTAGGTACTCCATCAACCTACTCAATTCGTTTCTTTCATATTTTGTTTTTGTTGCATAAATCAAAGATTCTATCTACTGCAATTTAACAAAGGATTTGTTAGTGCTACACAGCTTAGACAAATAAGAGTTCATATCCAGTTAACAGAGGATTTCCTAGGCTTCATGAGAGACATAGGCTGTACAAAGACTGGCATGAAAGCAAGGTTTTACCTCCTGGTTTGTCACAGAGTTGTAGTGGTCCATTTGAGTTTGATCTTGATTAAGCCGTTTATCATTTGGGCTGCTTTTATGTTGGAAGATTATATTACAGTTTGATATCTGCCCAAATTCAGGGCTTATTTGAGCTTTCGATTAATGTCTGTTGCCTCATTCAATTTCTTATAAAGCCTGATTTTTCCCTGGAGTTTTCAGGCTCCTCCTCGTGCTGATGTTGTAAAAAGCTTGAAAAATGGCATAGTTCTGAATCTTTTGGGAATGGGTGCTGCTATTCTTGGCATGCAAGCTACAGTGGGCTTCCTTGTTGCTAAGGCTCTTACTTCCTCCACAAATCCATATTATCAAGGAATTTCTCCTGGCTATAGCCCAGCTCTTGCATTGGATGTATTCTTGGTGCAGGTACTTGTTCTAATTAGAGCCTTCTATTGGATTATCAGTAACTTTTAATCGCTTTAAACTCATGTCTGAGACATTGACGCTTTAGTTACTGCATTAATTTGATTCACTAAACTCATGTATTCGAGGAAGAAGAAGAAGACGGGAATTGAAAGGAATAGTCCTGCCCAGTAAAAACTATGGAACTCCTGGTTTTCAGATACCAGACAGCATCCAAAAGGACCTCTGCAGGCATCGTGTTTATAGTTTTGTTACTTTTGTATGTAATGAGTTGTATAGAATAGGCATGTTGTATTTATATTAACCATTTGTAGATACCTCGAAGAACATGGTTCACCATATAGAGATGCAAATGCATGTAAAGCTAGATATCCATAGTTTCACAAATGGAGGAACATTTATATTTATCAGGTTGTTTTTCTTCTTCATGGTTCTTGATCCTATAGTTACCAAATTGAAAGTTCAAGGCTAGATGGTCAAAGATGAATTTGCAATGAGAAATAGTCTTTCGTTATTACATATTTTTATTTACTGTGGTCGCACAGGCGTCCAGTAAAACTATCCTTTCTCATTTTTTGGGGCTTGTCTTCTCATTGGAACTGTTGCGCTCCGTGATGTTACCTCAGTCAGTCAGTAGTCCAATTCCCAAGTTTTCGTAAATTTGCTGTTCTTGTTAAAGTATCATGAATTTGAAGCTTATGCTGGAACATGATTTGTACAGAATGTGGCAATGATTTCAGCAGGGGTTGTATTTACCTTGGGAAAGAATAATATTCTTTCTTGAGTTTGTAATAAACTACAATCCGCCATTAAGGTTGGTGAAATCCTTAAAGCTGACGATGTTCTAACTCTAAATTTTTCTTTAAGCAGTTGAACATGGAAAGAAATAAAAGCATGCCCTTTGGAGATCAGATCAACAGATTACCTGAAACATATCTTTAATGTTTTGGTAAATAATAAACAATACAATATACCATTAAAGAACTGGAAATTACCTCTAATGCAGGGGTTTGTAATGCAAAACAAAGTGGCAAACTTTGGAATTTAGAATAATACAAATTCCTATTTATGTCAATTAAATAACCTAGAAAAAAAGGGAAGCTCCATAAAAGTACTCTGCATCTCCTTCCATACAGGGGTGATGAAATGTTCATACAGTTAAAAGAAATGTATGAGCTTGTAAAATCTAACCACAAACGTATATAACCTGCAGGCCAAAACTTAATCTAGAATGCAAGAAAAAGTTGAATCTTCTCCCAAAAAATTAAGTTATCAAGTTAGCCCTGCTACCAACGATTGCTATAACTTGGTATTTGAAAACTGATGAAATCCGCGCAAAAAGGAATCAAAAGCTTCACACCATGAAAACCGGATTATATGTTCACACTTGACTACCTGAATACCTTGTAAAAAATAAGTGCATAATCTTTAGCGAGAGAAACAGAGTGGCAAAAAACTGAATCCTAGCAAGACAATTGGCTTTGATAATTAACATTTTGTCTAACGAGTGCTGCAACCAAAAGCAAGTAGTGCAATCTGTGTCTATAGTTATCACATCAATGTCCCAAAACTTGCCTACCTTATCTAGTAAAGCATGCAAGTTTGTGTTCAACATTAACTATATGAGAGATTTAAACCCATGTCTTGTAAAATTGTTGAATTAATAAAAGTACATGATTCTCCATTTGTACATACTGCACCTAGATGACAGTAGCAGCATATGATCATCAGATTAAAGAGGCCATTCAGGACTTAATAGTTTACCCACGGACTGACTCCTGGTCAAATGTCTCATTCACATTAATTTTATAATCTCATCTCAACTGCCCTAAAAAGTGGACCTGTTAGAGGCAAATGGTTTTGCTATCACCAAGTCATGGTGTGGTCATAACTCTCTTGGATAGGTTTTCCTAATGGCTATGTTTGCTCAAGGTGATATTACAGCTTTATCACAAAGGTATCACATCTCAAACCCGTACATAACATGGGTAATAAACTAAAATCTCCCTGTTTAATCCATGTTCATACTTATTCCATAAAAAACAAAATTTTATAGCATGAGAATAATATCCAGACAAATCATGAGCAACCCCAAATGATGAATAAGCTGTAAACTGATACAACCAAAAGGCAGAGAGAAGCAAACTTACCTACTGCATCTTCTTTATTTTATTAGAGGGCAATGGAAGCTTCCTTAATACCGTTTCATCAATTTTCCAGTACTGTGCTTGCATGATTTTGTGTGATACAACAAGCTTCTCATCGATATGGTGTTGATACTTATCATATAGCATGGGAACTGATAGACTAAGAACAATACCTGCAGAACATAATGAATGAAAGAAGCAAATATAAATAAATTTAAAGGACCCATCATTTTTATATAAATTAATAGGATCTGATATAACTCACCAATATAGACAAAAGTGAGGAAGTTGAAGAAACAAACCACAAGCCAACACCAACCAGAGAACCAGACATACAATGGCAGAGATATTTTAAAGTTTATATCAAAGCAATTGAGAATGCCCATAGAGAAAGATAAAACTAAGCCTTCAAAAAGAGTTCTAAATTTCTGCCAAGGGTAATGTCATGGGCGATCGACAACGCATAATTGACCCACACTTGTAACTCCTTAGCAATCTTCCCAGCATTCCTCTCAGAAATTTCCAAATTCGGAAGGGGAGGCAAAGGTCTGTATCAGAAACCAGAATCACTTTCCACATTAAACCCAGACCAAACAATAAAATTAACTTCTATTTCCTCTAATAATCCTCTAATAATCCTCATATATTGATCTCATAAAAAAAGGGTACTGTCTAAACTTGTTCCTTTCCCAGGGTGCAGAAAGCAATAGAAGGACTAAAGGGATAGAAATGCCTGTTGAGAAGTGAAACAGATTTGGCCCAGAAGAAGAGAATAACAACAAATAATAATACATTGGCCACGAAAGACACGAAACTATAACCAGCTAATTCAAAGAGGCACCAAAACGCCGTTGCGGAGGCTAGAATTACAATTCCGCCACACCATTTTCTCCACAATAGCACATCGGCAACTACAAAACAAAAATGGCATAAATAAAATTAAAACACCACCAGCAAAATAAATCAGAATCCTGTGAACTTAAAAGAAAGCTGCTGAACTATACAATCAACGCATTGAACTGTGAAAATATTAGTAATCGGGACAAAAACGAAAACCCAAAAGAATCAATTTATAGGAATGATGAAAGAAGCGTTAATGGAAGTGAAACGGATCTATCAATATACCTATATCTAGGGAAAGAGAGAGATGATACTTGTCTAAACCGTCTTCTTCTAGTAGTCCCAGAATCGAGTTTCGACTTAATTCGATGTGATAGAGCCGCTCTCGATCATTTTAAATTCGGTTGATCGGACACTTTAACTTACTTTTTATCTGATCTCCGTTTTACTAGAAATTTTATCGGATTCGGGAGTCGATTATAGTCAGGGAATGATTAGCACCCATGTACTGCCCTTTTAATACCGATTTAATTTCCCGGTTGCCTTAATTATGAAAATTAAAATTTGAAATCCGATCTGAATTACTTACCATTGAAGAAATTAAAATTGACCTAAAATAATATAAATCAAATCAGTGTTAAATATAAAATTAAATTAAGAAATTTAAAAACTTTAAATTAAAAAGATTTAACTGTAAAAAATTTAAAATTGGGGGTTAGATTGATATTATTTGAGAGCTGCAAGAAAAAAAAGTTAGGAGGGTCAATTTGTAAAATATAAGAAAGTTAAACAATGATTAAATTAAATAAATTTAAAATTTAAGGGCAAATTTACAATAGATGACCAAAACGAATTAAACATCAAAACTACAGGGAGTGCGAAAATAATTTAAAATTTTAGTATTTACACAAAGACCCTCCCTATAAATATCCCTTAAAACACACAAAAAATCATTTTCAACCCATTCTCCCCAAATAACTCTCCCCCAACATCTCAAAACTCTCTCCTCACTTCCCAACTGGCCTATGGCCGACCATCACTCCAGCGAAACCCCGCCGCACCGACGGTCGCTCCGGCCACCGCCTATGGTGGCCAGAAAACCTAAAACTACCCAAAATGTTAATCTCTAAGCCCTGATGTCTAACCTTTTTTTATTCATTTTCTAACATGTCCGCTCGATCATTTTGAGTGTCGGCATCCAACTTCCATCGGAACCTCTCAACTTCGAGTTCCCTTAGTCTTTGTTTTAGCTCCTCATTCTCAGCTTCAAATTATTTCTTTGCTAACTCCAATTCGGAGGGAACTGATTTAAGATGCTCTTCCATGGTTTGAGTATCTTCATGGTCTGGTACGGGAATAGTGTCATTCTTCTTTAGCTTCCGCCATTCTAAATAATCTGGAGTAAGCATCTCTTTAGCAGCCACGACATCCGTACGAAATATATTCTTCCATGACTCAGCTACATATTTGACCTTTTTCTTGTAGCCGTCCTCATGGTATGCAAACTCTGATCCAAATATCTCATGTGTAATCGGGACAAACTGACGTGCCACATACTGCCCAAGTGCTAAAAGTGGAGAATGACCAACTCCTCCCCATAACCCAAGTAACATTATGATTCCTGAGTCTCCACAACGATAAAGGATGTCACTATGGGTCACCCAAGGGACTCTCCAAACAATGTCCTTATCTTGAAGGTGTGTGAATACATTTACTTATTTTTCCTTATGAATGCCTTCTCGCCACTTTTGTGTAAGGAATTCTTCCAAAGGAGAGTAAGTGGTGTTGAATCGACGGTAAGAAATCTCATCAGTTTTCCAGAAATGACTATGGATCCAAACATGGAGAAGATGTGTGCACCCTATAAATCTTTCTCCCCCATTCTTTCTGCAATGGTTTAGTGAACGAAAAGTTTCATCTAAGATTGCTGGCGCAGGATTCACTCGTTTAGGCAGTTGTTCGAACAGTTCCACCATAGTCACCTCGATGTATCCCAAAGTTTTTGGGAAAATAACCAAGCCATAGATACCCAGTGCAAAAAGGTCAATCATCTTCCATTCATCAAGATGATTCATCATTAGTTGCTTGATATGGGTCCAAGCAATTCCTTCTCCTTTTCCTTTGTGCTGAATTCGGCCAGTTACTCACTTTTCATCTACCCCTGCGACCTTTGCCAACCCATTCTTGAAAGGCTGACTCATGTAGTATACTCCTCAATTGTGGGCACCATATCTTCTTGGTTGAATGTAAAACATTTGTACCCCGAATTCCAAAACTATACTAAGGATCGAACTAGGGGCTCGTCTATCTTGACATAGAGTAAATGTGCGATATCACTATACCGCTGGCAAAATTTATGCTTCTTGTCATTTTTCCAGATGTCCTAAAAGCTCTGCAACTCTTGAACATTATTTTGTTTAAGGTTGACATAAGCATAACTCACCAGATCTAACATATAATTACCCTGTAGACTGTAACATCCCAAATTATGGATTAGTGACCAAATTATAAAGTTTCAGAATTTGATGACTAAAGTAGAAGAATGAAATAGTTCAATGATTATTGGATATATATGATGAAGGTTATTTAGTAATTATTAAAGGAAATAAAGGGTAAAATGGTCATTTGATCATTTAAGGAAAAAAATGGAATTATATACACGTGGAAAGGGAGAGAATTCTCCAGAATTCTCTTCTCCTTTCTTCTTCTTCTTCACGTGGAAGCCAAGAGCAAAGGTAAGTTTGATTTAGCTTTTGATTTCTTGAAAGTTTTAAGTTGGATTTGAGTCTTTGAGGGTTATATAAGCTTAAGGAAAGCTTATATAAGTTTAAAACACCAAAGAGATAGAATTAGAAAGGAATTTCTATTAAGGGTTTATAAATGAACTTTTGTTATAGAAAGGTTTTTTGAAGTTCTAAAGTTGGATTTGACTTGCCATCAGCTTAATTAAGAAGTATTAAGTGTTAGAATTAGATTTGAAACATGTGGAAAATAGGGTATGATTCTTGAAATTCCTAAAGAGGAGAGGATATTAAGGTTAAAGATGAGATAAATGAATATTAATGAGTTTAATTATGTATATGAAAGTTAGGAATATGAAAGGGGTGGAAATATGAAGGATTTAATCCAAAAAGAAGGATTTTTCGGGTTCAAAAAGAGGTTCTGGGCAGAGTGCATTGATGCATATTCATAGTGCACCGATGCATCAATGTTAAAACCCAGAAATTGTTTGAAGGTGCATCGATGCATTGGTAGTGCATCGATGCACTCTTTTAAAATAAATACATCGAATGCAATTTGTGCATCGATGCATAAGTAATGCATCGATGCATCCCATTAATAAGGAAACATCGAATGCAATTAGTGCATCGATGCATAAGGCATGCATCGATGCATCCCAGTAATAATACAACATCGAATACATTTTATGCACCGATGCATCAGTAGTGCATCGATGCATACCTTCATTAAAAGATGAAATTGACTTTTCTCTTGGTCTAAAGAGTGAACCATTAGAGTATATTAGTTATAATACTAATATAGATCTATGTATGATGATGTAGATGTAGAACGTGATCCCGTTCCGGATCAATTGAAGGATTATAATCGAATCAAAGCAAAGCTAAGGTGAGTGCACATTCTCTAGTATATGAGGTTCAAGGAAAAATAAGACTTGTGATAAGTGTATTTCCAATAGTGAAAAACATGAATTCATAGAAGTATGTATTTGTTATGATTTATATGTGTGCATGGGTATATGTGTTATTGATATGAATATGGTAAGTAAAAGAGATTAATGGTGATGATAAGAATAATAATAAAGATAATGAAGTGATAGGTATATGTGAATATAGGTATTGATATGTTTTGTATGTATTGTAAGATGATATGTCTATGTGGTAACATGATAAGATGACAATGAGTTACATGTCATATGAACACATGAGAAATGTTATGAGCCATATGAAAGAGAAAGTATATGTGATACATGAGGGTGAATCCTATGTGACATATGAATATGAATTCATATGAAAAGTGACATTAATTACATGAAAGAAACTACGTGATTACATGTATATGTGAATGAAACCATGAGCTTATATGAATATATGATATGGTTACATGAATATGTAAAAGGATATAAAAGATAATGCCCATGTTATGTGTCATGAGAGCTAGGGGTATAGTTGGCATGCCAAGAGTCGAGGGTCTATGTGGTCCTTCGGGATATATATGTATTCTTTGGAACATGTGTGAAGTCTGGTGAGACACATACTTGATCCCTAGTATATGTATATGATTCTTAAGGAGTGATATGTGGTCCTTCGGGATATATATGTATTCTTTGGAACATGTGTGAAGTCTGGTGAGACACATACTTGATCCCTAGTATATGTATATGATTCTTAAGGAGTGATATGTGGTCCTTCGGGACATTATTATATGGCACTACGGTGCAATTCTACGCGGCACTCCGGTGCAATTATATGAGCTGTGGTGACAACATTAGTGCACAACCTCTATGTACTCGCATATCTTTAGTTCTCACATGAGTATCATGGGCTATTAAATAGATAATATTAATAAAGTGATAGGATAATATGTTTGTTCCCTTGTGAAATTTCATGTGTGATATTGATTGTACAAATGGTAACTTATAAGACTATATGATGAAAGGAATCAATGATAGTGATAAAATAAGAAAGAAATGAAGATGATAATATAATTGATTGAGTGTACGTGTTTTATGATAATATATATATATATGGTTTACATGACATGGTATGTGTATGTGCAATTGGTTATGGTATATGTTATATGATATGGACATAAGAGATCATAGGAACATGAGATAAGATATATGAATGATAAGGACATATATGTATGCATATATATTCGTTACATGTAAAAGTATGAGTGGTATGAAATGATAGTAAGAATTGTTTAGGTATGATTATTAGTACCGTTTACCTTATAAGTTTTTATGCCTCACTAAGTCTTCGACTTAGCGTGTGATTGTTTCACACGTAGGTTTCGAGGAGAGTAAAGAGTAATGCGGAGCAAGACAGGTCAGTTCTCCTTACCAAATGTCAGATCAG